AGATTTCAAATTCAGCTCCTTAGAACCGTGCGGTAATAACGTACGGACACGTGAAAATTTTAATGGGAAAACTGCTAACTTAGGAACGTGAAAAGCAGAAGGCTTTAATCTTAAAGGAATGTTCCCTACTCATGTGCGACTAAAAGATTTCAAATTTGGCTCTTCTAGTGTGGCCTTTTTCGCGGACCAGCAACTTTCTATTTGTCGGGTCACTGAAGTCGACATCTACAACTGACATACCACACAGCTACACAATTATCTTCCCGAACTTCGAGGGCCAGTATGTCGCAGAGTTAGCTACTGTGATTCCTTGCGATCTTGCTACGGCACGAAAAATGCAAAAACGCATAATTGCACCGGCTCGCCTGGTGCGTTCCAGCCTGGGATGCAGTTGCATATATGCAAAAACGAATAAAAACCAAACTCGCGGCAACAAATTAGTGGAGGCCAATGTGCCAAGATTGCTCAGCAAGCAAGCATCACATGATTGTGCGAAATTTGTGACATCATACTTGTTGACAGTAAGCGAACGAGCCAATGAATGGCAAATGGTAGATGTCAGCAAGTTACAGCACATTCCAAGGGAAGTATTGTAGTTGCAGCTCGCATGGGGGATATTTTCAAGACAGTGCACGGCTGAGAGGCAAATCTATAGGCAGATAATGTGGCAAGAATGAGAGACAACAAAAAGACAAGGCGTTTTAATCGAATGGTACTCAATGCAATGTTAAAAGAACACAGGAAAGGCCGCGAACACAGAATGAACGACTGTGCGAATGTGGATGAGAATGAGAAAGGCCAAAAAATGGAATAAAAAAGTGGAGAAGTTGCCAGCCACGTCAGTGACTGTTTTTTGGAGTCTGATGATAAAACGAGGGGGTCGGCGACAGCAACACCGGCCATAAGTGACGTGCACGATGTCCAGAAGGCGTAAAATAGCCTTGTTTATGTAGAAGTGATAAAATCACGGCGTGACAGTGGCCGGATGGGTATTATTGATGCACAAATCCATTCATCGGTGCAGCTGAAGCACAGC